CCAGACATTGCCGCTAAAGATGAGGCAGAGTCCAGTCACCACTGACAGCAGCTCGTTGGAAAAATGATGAAAAATGTCCTTCACTTGTTTGCACTAATAAATGATGCTCCCTGCACGCTGCAATCACAGATAAAACATTATTAAGTATGTTTTTCTCTTTATTGTCCTAAATGGTCACTTTGCAGGGAAGCTAGCCTATATAGGAGAGTAAAATAAGTGTCCATTTTAACATAAAAAGAATATAAAATTAAAAACTCTTTAAAAATAAAAATAAAATAAGTATCAAAATGAGAATAATTTAAAATGCAATGTTCTTTTTACTGGCTGTGGTATCACAGCAGGTATTGTTTTGAGGACACCTACGGTAACAAGAACTACCACAAAGGAAGAGTACAGCCAGACAGAAACATAAGTGAGGGACTCGCCACTTAAAAAAAAGATTCTGAAAAGTTGTACGACACATGACCCGACCATACTAGCAAAAGCCAACACACACACACACGATGATTTAAAGAACCAAACTATGAAGTTGCAGTTGTGTTGTTGCACTGACACAAGCACATGCGTAGCAGATTAAATTAGTGCTGCCACAACCGCTCGGATGCTTTACTAGGAAGAACGCCAAAAGGTCAAGACTTGCTAGGCAGGAATCTGGAACATCAAGACTCAGTCACAAAACTTTACAGGTGTGTAGCCGCACTATAATGAAACCACAAGGGTGTGTCCCCAGAATTCATTGGCACTGCACTTGGTATAATTCCATCACCACCAGGATACTGTGTGTCAGATGCTGTGAACCATAAGGTGTTGACAGAACTGAGCAGTGAAAACAAAACAAAGTGGCACAAACAATGACTCAAACGTTACCAAGATCCCTTCAGTAGTGTGCACTGTGGTCACACAATAGTGATGGCAAAATAAATTTCAAGGATAACCACAGGAAAAAACAATGTTAATGCCAAAACACAGACACGTGAATTTTATTTTTATCCAACTATAGGATTTAAAAAAAAATAATTCAAGTGAAGGAGGGGAACCAAGACCGATCCACATCAAAACAAAGTGGGGGGAGGGTGGGAGAGACAAAGAGAAGCAAAGAGAGGAGGAGATGGATGCAGAGTGGAGAGCAGAGACAGAGCGTCTTCAGACAGACCAGAGATGACTCATGGTCGCTCGGTGCCTCTGTTGGTGGCAAAAACACGGCCAGACTCAATTTTAGAGGCTTGCTGCTGGGACGGACTGATGGGTATTCCATCTTTCTGCAGCCAAGGGCCTGAAGGTTTGATCATTTGTTTAAAAACCAAAGTTTAGGCAGGAAAATTAGTAAAAAACCTCTTTCTTCCTGAAATATTACAGTGGCCACAACACAGAAGCACACTGTGGTTCTAAATTTTACAAAGTAAAAGAAATCAGTGTTGGAATAAAACATCTACCAAATTCTCATAAAAGCATACACATAGTT